CTGCCGTGCGGGCACACGGCCTGCCTGCAGTGCCTGCGCCGGCTGCCCAAGAGCAGCTGCCCGACGTGCCGCAGGGTAAGCGGGCTGGAGTGAAGTCCGGAAGGACATGTAGTATGTAGTTAGCGATTAGGAGCGTCGCCGAGTACGGTCGGCGAGGAGGAAGGGTCAGCGAGGAGGGTCGGTGCCAGCCGCTGCTCACGCGTTTTAGGTGTTCATAGTTCATAGCTAAGACGAACGGATCGCGAAGTCTCGAAAAATCGGACTGGAGCATGCTCAAAAACAAGCATACGCGGCGCCGACCCTCCTCCTCGGCGACTCTCCTCGGCGACCGTCCCTTTTCGCCGATGCTACTCGGCGACCCTCCTAATCGCTAACTACATATTCTCCTGGATCACTCGTTCGGTACACCTGTTCTGACCCATTCTCCCCACAGGACTTCAACGGCCCGTCGGAGGGACTCAGCACTAACTTCTTGGCTGTAGGGTTGTTGGAGGGAGTCAGGCTGGGCCGAGCTGGTGCACAGGACCCGCCACCTGCAGCTGCGTCAGCACCACCTGCAGCTGCGTCAGCACCACCTGCAGCTGCATCTGCACCACCTGCAGCTCCCCTTGTGGCCCGTGGCATGGATGTGCGCAATATCAGCAACAGTGGACCCGACGACAAGAAGCAGGAGAAGTTCGCCTTGCTGTGGGACGCGCCGGGGGTAAGTGTGCGTCGGCCCTCGAGCCTGACAGCCTCACGGGGCTGCCGGGAACCGCGGCTCGATACACCGCAGACAAATCCACACGTTATCGGTCTTGAGAGTGACTCTGTTCTGCCGCAGGTGACCCGGCTGGTGCGTGTGTACTGCCACAGGGACCCCGCCTGGAGCCTCCAGCTGCTGCAGCGCGCCGCGCCCACGCTGGAGCGGCTGTGTGTACGCTACCCCCGCGAGGCCCACCTGCTCGCCGTGCACACCATGCCGCGGCTGACTAGGTTAGACGTGGATGCTGCCCTGGCTGCCCAGGGCCCCGAGCTACCCGATCTGCCGCCGGGACACGGCGGCCACGGCCTGCAGTGGCTAAGGGTGGGGAACCTCCCACGCGCCTGGACACGGTCCCTGCTGCGGGCGCACGGCGGCACCCTGGAGGAGCTGCAGCTCCTGGTGGGCACGGCGGAGTCTAAAGGGACGTCATACAGCTGCGACGACCTGAACTCGCTGCTGCAGCGGAGCGGCCTGCGGGCGCTGAGGAGGCTGGTGTTGCGAAGGGTAGGTTGGATCCACCAGCCAGCCGCCTGCAGGGAGCAGCGCGCCGAGGTGCGAGGGGTGCTGCCCGGGGCCGAGGTGCTGGTGCTTTGCGACAAGTGTGATCATGTAGAGAAGGAGGAGGTCTAGGGGCGGCAAGCAGCGGGCGTACTCCCCCCACCCCCTCTGGCAGAGAGAGGACTCCGAGCAGCAGGGCGAGAAGGGTGACAGCGGTGTGCTCGGGTTTACAGCGCAGACAACATCCCTCGCGACCAGTAGGCACGGCGGGGGCGGGACAAGGCACTGCAAGCACATTAGTGTTGCCTAGTGGGCGGCCACGGGTGCATCACACTGCACTGCAGTCCACCAACCAGCCACAGGGAGCGAGGCCGCCTGGGCTAGTCATTCATCCATCCAAGAAAAACATTTATTTAAAACATGTGTGGGTACAGCTTTAAAAATAAAGCACGATAAAACTCAGGATTATTCGGGATTATTATTTTTAACAAAACTATACTATTTGTACGACTTCTACCGAGGCGTGTCAAAGTCAGCTATCATCCTCCGGACCTGGGGTATTTCTCCCCGCCTGCTGGGCGCAAAGCACCACAATAAGTCAACCAGAGCAAGGCGACCAATCAGTGAAACGAGCCACGACAGGGATATGTTCCCCAACTTTGCTAAAGCAGTATCAACAAGTATTTTAGTACACGTTCCTCAATGCCTGCCGCACGCGCTCCAACAAACGCAGTCCGGTCTATCGGAACATTCTAAT